GCCCGTGTCACACTAATGCACTTCATGTCAGCTCAAAGGAATCGAAAGGCCAGCCGGGCAGCCAGTTAATGGCAACATGCATAAAAAGCTGAACGGATAGCAGCCTGGCCTCTCCACGGAGATGGACCCGGACACGGACACGGACACGGACCCGTACCCGGACCCGGGGACCCGTCTTGATGTGCCGCGCCCCATCGCCCCCATGGCCGGCAGTCGACTCGCTTTGACTCCACTCGGTGCGCTTCAGCTGCATCTCGCAAATGAAATATAAATTAAATTAAATTCCAAAAGAGCAAGACGCTTGGCCACCACATACATAAATCAACAGCTCAAAGTGCAGGCCAAATGTCAACCGTTGCATCGATTGCCGATTGCCGATTGCCGATTGCCGATTGCAACTTGCAGTGGAACGCACATGCCACAAGCTGCATGCCGCATGCCACACAGCACACGGCACAAAGCTCTGCGCGCTATGCACACTTTGTGCGGACCAGATGAACTATTTCTTCAGCTCGTTATCGATAGTTGTTGATTTTCTATTTTCGATTATCGATTAAACTCAATTTGTTAAATTTCATTTCGAGCTGAATTCAATAAATTAATTATTCTTATGGCAAAAAGTTGCGCTATATACAGAGAGGGATACATATTGGCTGACCTATGCCAAGAGCAGGATTGTTGAAGCTTAACCAAGTGACTCCATCTCGCAGCTGTTGTTTATGTACAGCCGAGGCCTAGACAAAATTACCTGGAAGAACTTTGGCCTACAGATCGTCTGGTGGATTCTGAGATCAAGTTTTGTATGTAAACAGGTGTACATCTATCTATCTATGTGTTTACATTAATAACTATATTAATAAATTTTACTTGAAAATTGCAGTAAGCTCTTCCAAGTATTTCCATCTCTCAGCTTACAGCTCTCAGTTCGAGTACATACGAGTATGTATCCATATCCAAAGCCGAGACGAAATGAACTGGAAGCACTTTGGCTTACGTTTGAGATAACGTTATGTATATCTGTATCTATCTATCTACACATATGTATGTATGAATAAGTCTCTATTAGCTGATATTTCCTGAAACTTGCAGCAAGCTCTTCCAAGTGTTGCCAACTCCCAACTCACAGTTTGAGTACATCCGAAGCCGAGACGAAATTACCTGGAAGAACTTTGGCCTACAGATTGTCTGGGGGTTTCTTAGATCAGTTTATGTATATCTATATCTATCTATCCATATGTTTACATACAAAAATCTCTATTAACTTGCAGCAACCTCTCTCAAACGTTTCCATCTCTCAGCTCATAGCTCGAGTAGAGCCAAAGCCTAGACGAAATGAAGCGGAAGACCTGTGGCCCACATCCGCGTTAAGGTTTGAGAACGTCTGTTGGATGTTGAGATCAAGTTTTGTATATGTACATCTATCTATCCATGTGTTTACTTTCAAATGCCTCAATTAACTGATATTACTTGATACTTGCAGCAACTCAAATGATGACGAGGCGAATGTCGCCTGGTGAGGCCTTTGCTCATTTCCCACAGCTGTGGCGTCAAGGCCTTCAACTTGATATGGCGCAGGCTTCAGGTGTCTTCATCGGCTCTGGATAAACATGAGAGCAGGCAGACAGAAACGGCGCCGCGACTCAGCTGTTGACGCGCTAGCCTACAGACATACATATATCTAATTCGTGCCATGCACTGCATAAACAAATATCAAATTAATAAAATGCTCGTATCAGTTCATTTCCGAGCAATGTTTATGCCAAAGTCCACTTCCAGGGAGAGCTGGGCTAACTGGGCGATCGTTTTTCCAGCAGATATGCGAGTAAGCGTTCTCTATGCGACGCAATTAGCTGGAAAATTCTTGTGTGTTTATCGTGATCTTATGCAAATAGCTCGACAGCAATAGCAACAGGAACAGCGGCAACTGCAACTGCAACAATAACAAGTAAAACAATAACAACACTCGGACGGGCAGCAACAAATACAACTGGTAATAATTTTCACATTTCCGTTACAAATAAAAACCTATTCACTTTGCTAATATGGCCGCAGCGATTCATCCGGTGTTGGCTGCGTTTCGGGTGCAGGTGCTTCAAAACTTTCCGCACGCAATGCAATAATTTGCCCAAAGGCCAAGGGTCGTTGAATACACTAGTCCCAGAGCTGAACGGTGTTCATGGCGTTGATTCTATTGTTGCGTTTGTCACACGAATTGCGAATGGGAAAATAGAATTAAAGTGAGAGCGATGGAGAGTGAGAGTGGGAGTGAGAGAAAGAGAAAGAGAGATATACAGAGGGAGAATACAGAGAGAGACAGAGACTTATGAGACATAGGGTGGGAATGTCAGATAGATAGAGAGGAGTATTGAAGAGAGAGAAGAGCATGAGAGAGCAAAGAAACGTGCAAAGATCGGCGAGAAAATGACAAAGAAAGGGATCGAGAGAGTGTCACAGAGAGAGAGAGAGAGAGAGAGAGAGAGAGAATGTCTGTAGTGAGAAAGAAAGAAAGAATGTAAGATGGATATAGAAAAGTAAAAAACGCTTGAGAAAAGCATGAGAGGAAAGAGAACTATACACATAGAGTGAGAAGCGAGGAAATGGCAGAGATGGACCGAGGAACAGAGAGAGCTATGTGCATAGATATATATGTGAAGTTATATATGTATAAAAACAGATGCATAGAAACAGAGGGTGATCTAAAGACACATACATATATGAGGAAAGATAGAGAGCGATAGAGAAAGAATAACAGAGAGAGGTAAAGGCAAGAGAAAACATAGTAATACAGATACGGCGAAGTAATGTGAGATAAGTTCAGTGAAAGAAAGCGGAGATGAAGTACTGACCAAAGAAGTGATGGTACAAGTAGCTAGAGATAAATAGAAAGAGCGACAGAGAGAAAAAATATAGAGAGCAATTAAGAGCATATATGGAAATAAATGGATTGAAACTGACTGAAACGCATATACATACATATGTACATGCATGAATGTACAATATAAACGAAGCAGATAGATAAGTAGGGACTGATATATAGACAGGATGAGAGAGAGCGAGGGAGAGAGAGAAAGAGCAAGCGCATTTCTCTAATGTGTGGATCGAATTCGCATAATTTGATTAAAAATTTCCTATTGGAATAAAATATCTTTAATACATTTATTCTTTGTTTACATATGTTTTCCAGCCAATCGCGACTTTAACATTAATATCGATTATTGCTTTTAAGTGGTCTGAGGCTAGTGTTATAAGACGAGAGCAGATTATCTAATGTTGCCCCATCGGCTCGCCAAATTGTTGCATCTCGACTTTCCTGCATCGAGTAGGTAACGCTTCGCACAGCTTTGCACAGCAGCATCGATAATTGGCATTGGCAGTGTTGCATAACGCCTAAGATATTCTTTATTGCTGAGCCCAAAACTCTCGCTGCATTTCTTCTGAGCTGTCAATTTTTTCCGTGATAAAAAATATTACAATAAATAAAAATTTTCAAAAGTTTTTGTGGATCATATTGAATAATCAAAAGTGAGTAAAAGAGTGTTTATGCTGCGACTTGGCCCAAGCTCGCTATCTATGGCATTTGTTTAAATGTCAGCTAGTCAGTTTGCCAGGCAGTCAGTCAGGTTAGTCAGGTCACTCCGTCTGTCCGTCCGCCCGTCCTTCTGTCCGTCCGTCCGTCAGGCTGGTCGCATTTGCAAGTCGTTAAATGCTTTTGTTGCTTCACATTGTCGTGGCGCACACTTGCCGCTGCAACAGTTTTGCTGCTCCTACTCCTGCTGCTGCTGCTGCTGCCCCTGCTGCCCCTGCTGCTGTTGTTGCAGTTTGTTTCGTGTCGCTGGCATTGTCAATGCTTCGACTTCCTTCCGCTTTGGCTAACAAATTTGCGTCGTGCATGCAGGCCAGGCAAACATAATCATCATTATTGCTGCAATCAGCATATTTGGCAGGCTCAATGCGGCCCGCCTCCTGCTGCCTTACATTGTTCATCCTGCGGGACACAAGAAAGAAAATAACACGGAAATATTGTAAATTTTATGCCGTTCGCTACTTCAGTGCCGGCAGCAGCACCAGCAGCAGGAGCAGCAGGAGCAGCAACTACTACTACGAGCGACTCTAGCCATAGTTGTGGTTATGCTTAATATCCGTCATTAAAATTGTTGTTTGTGCTGCAACGTGCACTCTCGCTTCCCCTCTCCTCGCCCCTGCCGTCTCCTTCGCTCACCTGTACAGCCATAGAGGTCAGTCGGAGCCCTGCTTTGCCCTGCAGGTCTCCTGCTCTGGCCTCTGCCTGGCCCCAGGTGCGTGGGCGCCTGCACCGCGTGCCTGCGCCGCTTAGGCGCATCCTGCCACCAACTTCAACTTTCAACTTTAACCCCAGCACAAACACACACACACACACACACACACGTACACGTGGGCATTATGCAAATATTGTGTGTGGCTCGTGTGTGTTTCTATGGCATTGCACGATAAGAATCCATTGCGCAAAAATTAATTAGTCAATTTGCATGAAATTTATGTACAAAGCGCGAACAAACGAAACGAATTTTGATGTATTCCGCACACATGAAGGAGACACGCGCTGGCCGGCCAGCGCCAGGACTCCTGCCCAGAGGCAGGCGAGAGCCCTACCTCCATCTACCTCCCTCTCCCACTCTCTCTCTAGCAAGTCAATGTGATATAGTATCTAGCACATCGAATCAGATTAATATACACATATAGAGCGAGAGTGTGTGTGTGTGTGTGAGAGAGAGAGCGCCCAGCTCGAGCGCCATATAAACAAACATTGCTGAAGCGAACCCCAGCCGCTTCTATATAAGATCCCAAACAATTATCGCTCTCGATAATAGTAAGCTTAGAGTCAACTGTCATTGTGGCTGAGGCAGGCAGAGCATAGCAAAGGCTTACAGCAGCTCAGAAATCAGAAAGCATTCAAACAGCAAACAAATCACACCAAAAAAATAATAAAATACATTTTCCAAAAATCGAAAAAAAAAAATTCAAGAAAAAATTTACAAATTCCGAAACGAAATAATAAACGCTGAAAATAAATCGCAAAGTGAGTGCAAAAACGTGTAGAGAAAAACGCGAGACTCGTTCACATAAACTAACACCGCATATTCTCTTGCTCTTGCTCTTCCTCTTCCTCTCTCGCTGTGTAGGATGGCTATGCATTGGGATGTGAAGTGCGATGGCTGCGACAAGACCAACTTGGTGCACTACAGATACAAGTGTTTGCGCTGCCCCAACTACGATCTGTGCGCCGCGTGCTATGAGAACAAGGTGGAGACGGGGCCGCACAGCAACGAGCATCCGTTCCAGTGCCTGCTGGATCGGGCTGCGCGCGAGCTGTTCTTTGCCGGCGAGGATATACCGGAACTGTGCGCGGACAGCTTCACTTGCCCGTTCTGCGGCAAGATGGGCCACTCCGTCAAGGAGCTGGTGAAGCACATCCAGGCCAAGCATCGCGGCGACAGCACGCCGGTCATCTGTCCGCTCTGCGTGGCGGTGCCAGCAGCGGACACCATGCGCATGACCAATCTCGTGAACCACGTCTCGCTGATGCATGGCACCGGAATATTGCGCATCGGCGGTGGCTCCGGCAGCACCTCGGGGCGCACCACCGGCTTCGAGCTGCCGCCAATGAGCGCCTTGTCCGGACTGGGCCAGGGCCAGGGCCATGGCCATGGACCGGACAACGAGCTGTCCAGTGGCTTGCGCACGCGCAGCCCACCGCCGGATCCGGCACGCATGGGCGGCTTCCAGTGGCCACCCAGCATGAGCAGCAGCGCCTCGCAGGATGAGGACCTGTATCCGGACTCCTGGCTGCCGGAGCTGAGCAGCCTCAGCGGCAGCATGCACACCATGCGCGAAACCGATCTGGATCTGAGCAGCCTGGTCGAGCATTCGCCGTTGCGTCGCGGCACACCGATCTCACGTCTGCGCCGGGAGCACCAGCGGGAGCAGCAGCAACAGCAGCAACAACAGCAGCAGCAGAACAACCAACAGCAGCAGCAGCAGCAGCAGCAGCAGCAGCAGCAGCAGCAGCAGCAGCAGCAGCAGAACAATCAAGGCCAACGGCGCACCCAAATTACCCCAGTGCCACCACTCGCCATGGCGGAGGACCTTAGCGACAACGATGCCGAAGACCATGCCGGCAACGACCCAACCTCATCCATTTAGGCGAGCATACCTCATTCAGCATCCAAATTCACGCCCATCGCGCAAACTTTTCATATTGTTCTTCCTAACTCACCCACTGAATACTTAACCAAATAAATGTTATTCAGCTAAAGCATCTAGCTCTTCCCATGATCTGTTGTTGCAGTATATTTCTACTGCCTCTCAAGTTATCTAGTTGCTCATTCACAACTACATCTGAAGTTGACTAGGTATGCTAGAATGATCTATGTCTATACTCAACATAACATCTAGCGATTCGATGTATACATACATATACCTGATATCATTTGCATTTCATTATCATATGTATATGTATCTTGATTTTAATTTACATCTTAGTTCCTTTTAAAGCAGTGTAAGGCTCTTTTGTTTTTATTCACTGAAAATGTACACTCTAGCTATAAGGATTCTGTATGCAAGGAACAGCAGCAGGCCCAGCCCTTTGTACATGTATGTATGTATATTCCCAATCAGCATAAGGAACTGAATCGATGTACAAATTTCCGTCCGTCAGTTTCTGTCCGTGCTTCGGTCGGTCTATGCATGCATCAGCGTCTTTCTATGCGAATCTGGTTGTCCGTCTGCGTTCTATAGATCTGATCTCGTAGAACACAAATGCTAGAAGATTACAGATTTATTGTGCAGGAGCGCTACTTGTAATGCATATAAAGATCTTGTATATTTCGTATTTTGGATGCAACCGACAATATGCAATATATGTACATACATATATATACATACATACATATGTATGTTTGTACAAATTGAAGAGCTGCAATATGCCACAGATATTCTAGCTCAATTTGAATATATTTGTTACGAAATGTATGTTTGTATGTATGTAAATATGTATATATGTATGCATGTATATAGGTATGTACATATGTACTTATATATGCAACTAAAAAGTTAAGGCTTTCAGTAAATTTCACTATAGAGACATAGACAATAAGCATAAAGTATGTACGTACATATGTATAAGAAAAATAAATATGTATGTATATATGCACACACACTGTTAAGCTGCAAAAACATCGACAGTCACTTTATTTTTTCAATCGATGTTTCAAACTATCGATATGTGTACCATGTATAGCGATAGTTGCGTAGGATCGCTTTTCAGCCCTAAAGCTTATAAAGAAAATATTTAGCTTTTTAGCATTTTAAGTTTGCAAATTTAATGCAAAATAAAATACAAATAATTAAAGTCTCTTATAAGAACTTTTGCTTAAAAATGTTAAGTAAAAAATAAAAAAATAAAAAAAACTACTCTTTAGCTGGTATTAAGATACTGAAAACACCAAAAGCTACATAATTTTCTTTGGGCACACACAAAAATTAAAGTTTTGGTAAAATTGAGTTTACCGTCATTAGTCATTTACAAATATCAGTAATTATACCCTGAACCCATTGAAAATGGGAAATCAGGGTATAATGGTTTGTTAAAAGTATATAACAGGCAGAAGGAGGCGTGGCAAACCTCATAAAGTACATACATTCTTGATCAGGGCGACGAACTGAGTCGATTTGATCCATCTGTCGGTATGCCCGTCTCTTTGAACGCGTCGATCTCAGAGGATATAAGAGCTAAATTTATATTCACATATATTTTAAAAAATTTCGATTTTTGTTAAAATTTACCTCTACCCCTATATCCTTCCCCTTATATTTGTAAAAGAATTATGCTTTGGCAAATACATAACTATATTTTAAACATAATCTAGAGGTGTTATGAACATAGTCTACCCACAAGAAAAGTTATTAAAATTAAGATTACTATGTACGGTGATGGGGATTGTGTAGATTGTCAGCGTAGAAATAAATTAGCATTAGGGGGGCATACTTCTTGAGGTCCTCCCCACTAATAATTTCCGGTAACTTGCGATGTTTAAATCGCACTAGAAATAGCCTTTGATTTTCTTGCATAAACAGTTTCATAATGCAATCTGGTTTGAGCCCGCGCTCGAACCCGTTGTTGACCGTGGGGACGAGTTTTTTGTATTTTTTCAAACACCGTCTCAACACCTTTGCCACTAATTTGTTGTTTGTGGCATTTTCTTCAGCCCTATCCACGGGCTCCAATTGAGTTTTGCGTGGACGACCCTGCAAACCAGAATCAATTGAGATTGAGATTGGCGCATTGAGACTAAAAGGAAAACTTACACGTGGACGTTTGGGTGTCTCCGAGACTGACTGTACTGTGGGAGATGGAGCCGGAGTAGCGGTGCCAGCTGAAACTATGTGTATATACATATGTATAATTATAAATTAATGTAAATATCTAAATTTAACACTTACGTTGCATATTCATTGATGGAGAAGCCATTCCGAAGTTGAGCTAAATTAATTCACGTCCAGTTAATATTGAATAATGAAAAAAAAAAGACAAAAAAATAAATAAATAAATTTACCAATTGAATTTCCGTATTTCGTCTGTCTAGTCAAACGTAAGACTGATGATTTTTACAATATGTTTAAGCCCATATCAAGATATTTGACAGCAAACACGCGGACTACTTGATTGCTTGATGCTGAGCAGGCATAGTTTGCAAATAACTGTAAAGTGCCTTTCACTCACACTTTGAAAAATGACTCAGACAGTCCGTCTACAAGTCAAATTATTCAACAAATAAGTTCTCATAATATTGCCCACACTGAAGCGCAGTCGCTGCTTGCTGCGCAGTTAGCAGAGCGCGAGCTTATGCGTGCGTGTCGATGCATGTGTATGTATGTGTATATATCATATAAATATGGTAATGGCCATACGTGAACCACTGTTTATACACAGCTCCTATTGCAGAGTTTCAATAGCTTCCCACAGTCAACTCGTATGAAATTGAGTGGATCAGTGACATGAGAGCTCGAAGTTAACTCAAGGCAAGTTCTTTCACTGGAATTGGAATTACTTCAGATCGTCAACTAGGCGCAACACACTTCCGATATATGTAGATATATATAGACCTTTTCAAGATATAACCATCGACTTTTGATACTTTATCGATATTGGGCGCTGCAGGCGTAACTCTCTATAATTGAAATGTTGAGAGCTAATTAGAAAAGTGAATGCCGGCCGAGTTTCAGCTGCGCAACTGTCGCCCTGCTCCCGCTCAGCCACCCGCTGGGGCTCGCCTTATCTCGGCAGCCACTTCCTTAGAGCAGGTGTGCTGCCTAAAGCGTAAGCTGCGCTGCCTTGTCTCCGGGCACGTCAGGAGCGAAGTGTTACAGTCGAATGTCTGCGTTGCTGTAATCGGCTTAGAGGTGAAACCTTTTGTCATTATAAAAGGATTTCAAGCTTGACAACATTTCCATTTGTTGCGATTCGGTCCTCTCCACTCCAGTGGGGTGGCGACAACCGAAGCCCAGTTGAATGGAGAGCAGGGGGTGGGGGGAGTCAATGGAGGTCTGTGCGTTGCTTAGTTAACTTTTGGCTGGCTGCGTCCGTCACCGGGTCTTTGATTTTGTTCAAAGAAATTAAGATTCAAAAACCGATACCGTTCATGTTACCAGTCCCAATTATAAGCCGGCCCAGCCTCAGCCCAGCCTCGGACCAGCCTCGGCCCATGCTCTGGGGCTGGGCTGTGCGCTCAGGTAAACGAGCTGGCTGCCTCTGTGTCAGTGGCAAAAAGCATTTGAGATAAATTGCCAATCGAACTAGATAAAATGAGCTGTGTAAATAGTGGAAAGGCGCAGATAGGCCACTTTGAGAACGGCCCCAACTGCCGTCCGCTTGGCGGAAACTATGCCGAAGCGAAACTGAACCGCATCAAATCAACTCAAATCGAATCACAACAAAACAAAGCGGAGCAAAACAAAGCCAAACAAAACTGAACAAAACAAAACAAACCACAGCAAACCAAACAAAACCACCTGCTCCTCCAGCTCCACTCGGCTTTGATCTGTGCGCTGCGTGACTGCCTGATGGGTCAGAGCATGGACTGGGATCCCAATGAGAATGTGGTTGACCAGGGAAACGCAGCTGCCTGCAGGTCGTTATGTCTAATGAGTATTACGGAGACATGCGGACGGACAAGTACGCCGAGGCAGCAGCCGGGGCGGTGTGACTTAAAGGGTTGCCTCCAGCGCTGAGCGCGTGAGTCCCGATTCTTTGACACTCACGCAAGTGCGTGAGTCCGAGTGAGTGCTAGAGCAATGATCGAGCATAGCTGCAGTGACACGGGGCCCAGTTCGTGTCGTGTCACGACGAGAGATCGTCGAGAGATCGCTGAGAGTTCGATTGGGGCACAATCGAATTAATTGACTCGCTGGGCTCGTGTCACGCGCTCAGCTTGGGCCCACGATTTGCTATGCCACGCATTGATATGACAATAAAATTGAACGACTTTGGTTTTGGATTTTGCGACTTTGCCTTTATCGCCCTCCGCTCGCCAGCCGGCGGCTGCTTTCGGCTAACGGCTACCCACCCATCCCCGCCTCTAGCCAGCCATACCCCGCACATGAAGAACGCTTGCACAATTTTTAATCATGGCTGGGTATTCTCGACATGGCCCCAGCTCCTATCGGCTGCCAGTCGTGGACATTGTTTGTGCCAGCGACACATAAACATGCATGGCCAGACTGGTGCTGCTCCTGGCTGGGCTGGATTAGGGTGGGGGACCAGGGCCGGTTTATTGTTGCCGTTTGTATGGCTTTTAGTCCTTTATCTTGTTTCTAACTCATTGGATCGCAAAAACGGTCTCGTGTTCACCTTAATTGGGGTAAACATAAGTTCTGATTGCCCGCCGGGCTAGGCCAGGCCGCTTTTCTATACAGCTCCAGCTCTCCCTTGGCTTCGGATTTGGCTTTGGCTTTGGCCTGGGCTTGGGCTTGGGCTCTAGCACGCATACCAAAGAGTTGAACAGCGACATTTTGCAGCTTCTTTTCGCTTGCCTTCGCTCTCTTGCTTTTTTTTTCAGTGTCTTTTTATTTTGATTCCCTCGTGATTTTTTGTTGTTCGCCCACTGCTGTTGTTGTTCTTCTAATTGAAGTTGTTCCTTGTCCTCGGCGACTATCAAGAAACGCGCTGGCCAAAAA